AATATAAAAATTAAGTTTTAAAGACAAACATTAAGTACATAGACATTGTTTTGGATTAAGAACTGGTGATCAATTTAGCACCAGCTGGATTACATCAGCATGGCATTGAGTGAAGATGCTCCACCTGAGGAAAGTTGCCAGGATAAATAGGTCGTGAAGAAGGGATGAGGGTTGAGGTGCTAAGGAGGCATTGTGGGTTCTCCTACGAGTTGTTGTCTGAGCTGTTGGTTCTCCTTGAGAAGCCTTGGTCCTCACATCGAGCATTGCTTCCTGGCTCTGGAGGCAAAGACAGGTGCTGCTTGGTCTCCAGGATGAGCTTGTCATGCTGCTTCCTGGCATGTATCCAACTGTGCTTGTCATTGAAGGAGCTTGTGGCCTCCATGTCGCTGAGGACAGCGATGTTGCCTTTCAGGATATCCCTTTTCTTTGTTGTGTGACTTCTCAGCTACAGCATAGAACCCTCATCCCACTAGCACAGCTCTTTCATCCTGCTGGCATAGACTTTCTTTCTTTTTTTTTTTTTTTACATTTTTAAAAAATTTTATTTAAAGTGATAAAGAATAAAACAGAAAAAGAGTACAATATACACAGAATTTCAGAAAAAATAAACAGTAGAAAATCACTAGTTAATAGATTACATATTGTCTCTTAGAAATAGTTGTTCAAGTTACAAAATTAAAGCATATAAAGTGGACTTTCAAACAGTGAGACTGCAAACAGTTCTGTTCAATGATCCAACAAAACTCAGTAATATGTTAATGTATCTTATACATTTAAATATACATGCTGTTATATCCTTTAGAGCATTTTTTTTCTCTCTTTTGTAGAATGACAATTACACATTTTGGTTTTTATTGCTCCCACAGTGCTTATTACTTTTTTTTGAACAGAGTAAAATCAAATGTGACATAACAAAACAGAGTCAGTCAAATCAAAAGGATGGACATAATGCATAATGTAAAAACAAAATACAAGGTGATCAACAATGGTTACCATACTGCCTCTTGCTATCTTAAAAAGAATTGCCTATATCATCAGTTATAATAAAATTGAACAAAAGAGTAAAGAACAAAAGCAATAAAACCAAAACATTGGAGACATTACAGGACTTCATAAGAAGATAATAGTTAACCAGAATGAGCATCATAATGAGTCTTATTCTGGTTAACTATTATCTTCTTATGAAGTCCTGTCTTATGAAGTCTTCACAGTTGTTGCCTATACTTTTAGATATAACTTGGTACTATCAAGCAAAACAGAATAGAGGAAAATCAGTCAAAACAAGATGGTGAGAGCAATACAGGGTTTCAAATAAAATTAATAGGAAATCAAAGTGGATTACTATAATATATCCTGCTATTTTTTATTTATCTTTCCCTTAATTAAAAAGATAAAAATAAAAAAGTAAATAATAAAAAAAGGAGATTGAGATAAAAGAGGGCATAACAACAAAACAGCACAGGTCAAAACATAAACATTTAAGCAAAATAGTGTTTCACCACAAGATATCCCAACATAAAGGTAGTTACCATATTGTCTCTTTCCTTGAGATCTTTGAGTATAACTTCGTATACTGTAGCATCAAATATATCAGCACAGTGTATAACCATTCAAGAGAATGACAGTATTACAGGGTATTTAGAATCAACTAACAGATAATGAACTATGGTTTGTGTATAATCTCCTTGTCTATAGAAGTTTTTGTTTATATTATCACATATAATAAAACCCAGTAAGATACAACATATTAAGACTGATGGAGACAGAAGAACAAAAGCTTGATGGGACTTCAAAACAAGATGACATTAAATCAGCACTAGCTATTATGATGTCTTGTTTTCTCCAAAATAGCTGTTCCAAGCATCCAACATTCTCTGCCTCGTTTCTGTGGAGCTCTTTTTATGTCATTAGTTGTCAGTTTGTCTTCTTCATTTCACATTCTGCTCCATTCATTGTGGCCTCTGTTTCTGGAATCTTGGTATTTTTCTTTTTTTAGAATATCCTTCAGTATCCTCTGTAGAGTTGAATTGGTGGTTGCAAATTCCCCTAGTTCCTCTTTATCCTAAAAGCACCTTGTTTTTCCATCAATTTCTAGGGACAGTTGTGCAGGTTATATCAGTCTTGTCTGGAGGTTATTATCTTTCAAAGCTTAAATTATTTCCCCCCACACTCTTCATGATTTGATGGTTTGTACCGAGAAGTCTGCTGTAATTCTGATGGGCGTTCCTTTGTAAGTGAGCTGTTTCTTGTCTCTGATGGCTTTTAAGATTCTGTTCTCATATTGGATTTCTGTAATTTTGATTATTATATGCCTGGGTGTAGCTCTGTTTGGGTTGTAGATGGCTGGGGTCCTGTATGCCTCATACATCTGAGTATCTTTACCTTTTGCTAAATTAGGGAAATTCTCCTGGATTATTTCTGTGAATAGCTTTGGTAGTTCATTTGTTTGTGTCTCTATTTCTATTATGTTCTTAATTCTAAAGTTATAGATCCTCTTATCATCTTCTAGCCTTTGTATTATTGCTGTTTGTTTTCTTGTTATTTTTAAGAAATATTTCATTTCATGCTCCTGCATTACAAATCTGCCCTCAAGTTCAGATAACCTATCCTTAGTTTTCTCAAGCTGTTATGCCAGCTTTCAATAGTTTTTAGTTTCCTTGTAATCTCTGTGAATTTTGTTCATGTATTCCATGTTTTCTCTACTTTCTCCATCAAGCAATTCTCCCCTTTTTTCTGTTTTTCCATTCTACTATCTGTTTTTTCTTGGGTGGTGCTTAGCATTTCCCTTAAGTATTCTACTTATGTGTTGCTTTATTTCATTAAATATTTCACTTTTGAACTCATCTATGAGGCTCCAGAGATATCACTTAATGTCTATTGGTGCCATGTCTAATATTGCATGTTTTTTCTCCTCATTCTCCTTTGCATTTACCTTTCTTGGATCAGTGTTCTCAGGATTGGGGACTGAAACCCCTTTCTTCTTGCTCCCTCTTCCCATACTTTTTGTTCCTTCCATACAAGTGTATATATAGGAGGCCCAATTTTTTTCTTTGTGGATTACAGTTTGAATCTGCTGGCTAGGTGTTCCCACCCACTGCAGTGTACTAGGGAAACACAGACCTGGGCAAACTTCTCTGGGCCTGCCCCTCCAGGACAACCTAGTGAAGGCTTGACTGATAGGGTGCACCGCCAGGCACTGGTACCTGGTTTGAGTTAGCCTACAGGGTCTTAATCAGTGGCGTCATCTAGGCCAAACACTCTGCACCAACCCCGCTTGAGAGGGGAATATGTGACTAAAGTCACTGCAATGTCCAGTTCTGGCTAGCCTGCCAAGTCCTGGAATGTACTCTTTTGAAGCCTCCTAGTCTATGGAAGGGTCCCCACTCCTTTCACTCACCACAGGTCAATGCAGGGCTCCCACTAGTCCTGCTCTCAACTCCATTCACTGATTCCCACTATCAGAGCTTTCGTGCATCTCTCTGCCTGCTGTGGGATGCAGCAGCAGTGGAGGCAGGAAATTCAAATTGTGATTTCCAGAGGTGTGGGTTCAAGCTTCCCTGCTGTGATTTTATCTGTTCCGGTTATAGCACCAGGATTGCATTTCCAGTTGGTTTCTCTCAGCGTAGTTTTTTTCCTGTGTTGGCAGGGTATATCTCCCCTTGCTTAGGAGTCCTCACAATGCACCATTCCTAGATTCTAAGCTGGTTATATCAGAGAACCTTCGTAACTGCTGTTATTTATCTGCCACATTCTCCTGGAAGTCTGGCATAGACTTTCTAGCTTCCACCACTGACCCTTGGGTCCTCCTAGAATGGATCCATAAAAGAGAATCCATGAGTCCTTCTTGTGGGCTCTGGACCTCCGGTAGGACTCATAAGAGGCATTGTCCTGAGCTCTGGATTTTTATCTGGAATCCTGTGGGATGCTGCTGTGGGAGTTAGTCTCTTGAATAAATAATCCATGTCTTTGGTGTTGCAGATACACTTCCTGCAATTTCCTGTGTTAACTCCTGGTGAGTATTACAAAAATAATATTATAAACTCCTGTCAATCCAATTGTTCTCTGTGCACAATCCCTGACTATAACAGTCACTTTCCATACTTGAAAGTGAAAAGCACATTTCAGTTTACCATGTTTAATTACAAGATGCCATGTTGAAGCACAAGGACACTTTAAAATATCTAGAGAGGTACAAGTGATTAACAGAAAACCATACAACATGTGCACTAGAGGAGAGCCCCACCTCAGATTTGTCATTTATGAAAAATTTGTGAAGAAATGTTGACATCAAACTTCTGTATTATTTCTTCATGTCTCCTGGGGATATTTAAGTAAACTTAGATCTAAACTGTTGGACCAGGGACACTTTTTCTATGTATTTAACAACAAATATGGATTGCTGTATTTCTCACATTGCAAATCCAAAGAGGATCTCAGGCCAGTGAGCTCTTTCAGATATGTAACAATTATGATGGGTGTTGAGAGGATTCCCATAACACATAGGATTTATCTCTAGTGTGAGTTTCTTCGTGTATTTCACTTACACTATGGCTGCTGAATGAGTCTCCACTTGCTTACATAGCCAGTAGTTCTTCCCAGTGCAAATTCTTTTATGTGTTTTGCAATGACTGTATGTGGTAAAAGCTTTGCCACATTGTTATATACATAGGATTTCTCCCCAGTGTGAAGTCTTTGACGTATTTTAGAATATCCATATGTGGTGAAAGCTTTCCCACATTCTTTACATACATACGGTTTCTCAAAAGTGTCAATTCTTTCATGTATTGGACAATGAGCATTTCTGCTGAAACTTTTCCCACATTCCTTACATAATATAAGTTTTCTGCCCAGTGTGAAGATTTCCATGCATTATGCACATATGTACGTGTGCTCAAACCATTCTCACGATGCTTATATACACTGGGTTTATCTTGAGTGTGAACTTTCATGATGCTTACAATGTCCATGCTGGGTAAAAACTTTCCCACATTACTTACATAGGGTTTCTCTCCAGTGTGAATTTTTTCATGCTGTTTACAAACTCTGTGTGTGGTAAAAGCTTTTCCACATTGCTTACATACATAGCATTTCTCTCCAGTATGAATACTTTCATGTTCCTTACAATGTCCATGTGTGGTAAATGCTTTCTCACATTGCTTACATTCATAGGGTTTCTCTCCAGTGTGAATTTTTTTGTGTTGCTTACAAACTCCATGTGGTTTAAAAACTTTTCCACATTGCTTACATACATAGAGTTTTTCTTCTGTGTGAAATTTTTCATGTTGCTTACAAACTCCATGTGAGTTAAAAGCTTTTCCACATTGCTTACATACATAAGGTTTCTCTCGTGTGAATTCCTTCATGTTTCTTACAATATACACGTGTGGTAAAAGCTTTCCCACATTGCTTACATGTATAGGGTTTCTCTCCAATGTGAATTCTTTCATGTTCCTTACAATGTCCATGTTTGGTAAATGCTTTCCCACATTGCTTACATACATAGGGTTTCTCTCCAGTGTGAATTCTTTCATGTTCCTTACAACTTCCAGGTTGGCTGAAACCTTTTCCACATTGCTCACATACATAGGGTTTCTCTCCTGTGTGAATTCTTTCATGTATCTTACAATTTCCACGATGGGTAAAAGCTTTCCCACATTGCTTACATACATAGGGTTTCTCTCCAGTGTGAACTCTTTCATGATATTTACAATATGCATGCGTATTAAAAGCTTTCCCACATTGCTTACATACATAGGGTTTCTCTCCAGTGTGAACTCTTTCATGATATTTACAATATGCATGCGTATTAAAAGCTTTCCCACATTGTCTACATACATAGGGTTTCTCTCCAGTGTGAATTCTTTCATGTATCTTACAATATGCACGTGTGGTAAAAGCTTTCCCACATTGCTTACATACGTAGGGTTTCTCTCCGGTGTGAATTCTTTCATGCTTTTTACAATGTCTATGTTTGGTAAATGTTTTCCCACATTGCTTACATACATAGGGTTTCTCTCCAGTGTGAATTCTTTCATGTTCCTTACAACTTCCAGATTGGCTGAAACCTTTCCCACATTGTTTACATACATAGGGTTTCTCTCCTGTGTGAATTCTTTCATGTTTCTTACAATTTCCACGATGGGTAAAAGCTTTCCCACATTGCTTACATACATAGGGTTTCTCTCCAGTGTGAATTCTTTCATGATCCTTACAATATGCCTGTGTGGTAAAAGCTTTCCCACATTGCTTACATATGTAGGGTTTCTCTCCAATGTGAATTCTTTCATGATTTTTAAAATATTCACATGTGTTAAAAGCTTTCCCAAGTTGCTTACATATATACAATGTCTGCCCATTGTGAAGTTTTTCATGGATTACACAATAAGTACGTGTGCTGAAAGCTTTCTCACAGTGCTTACATTTATAACGTTTTTCTCCAGAGTGAAGCCTTTCATGTACTTGACAATATGTACTTGTTGTAAAAGCTTTACCACATTGCTTACATATGTAGGGTCTCTCTTCTCTGTGAATTCTTTCATGTTTCTTACAAATTCTATGTGTGGTAAAACCTTTCTTGCATTGCTTACATACATAGCGTTTCCCTCCACTGCAATATTTTTTAGGGATCTGAACACTGTGGTCTGTTTCTTTCACATCCACATTACCTTCTGCAGTACAAAGGAATCCTTTACACTGATTCCAAGATGTATGTCCATAGGATTTCCCTAACGTGTTATTTCTGTAAAGAGATAAATCACATATAGTATTGACAACCATATTACTAAGATTTTTTTGGAGAGCTGAACAAAACTGTTTGCAATCTCACTGTTTGAATCCTCACTTCATGTGATTCACTTTTGTATCTTGATTATCTCTTTCTATGAGCACCATGTATAATCCTCAACTTGTGATTTCTTACTGTTTATTTTCACTTTGAAAGTAGTATTATTTCTACTTATTTTGTTTTGGTTAGTCTTTCCTTACATAAAATTTTAAAAAAAGGGAAATAATCACAGTGAAATGGGTCTCTGTGTTAATGACTGCATTAATGTCAAGTTCTGTTTTTAATGCCTGCAAAGAAATTCTGACAATGAAGTAGCAGAATGCCTGTTGAAAACAACCATTCCCAAAAGTCTCATACACATTTGGGAATCTTAAAAGTTGGTAACTTTGGGGCTGGGTATTTAGCTTAGCGGCATAAGCGCCTGCCTTGCAAGCAGGCAGTTGTAAGTTCGATCTCTGGTACCGATAAAAAGGACAAAGACAAAAAAAAATGTTGGTACCTTTTGAAATGCAGAATGTTTAGCTTCACTTTGGGCATGGGTACATATGTGTATGACATGCAGATCATTCAGATATGTTTCCCCATCACAATCTCCCTTCTGTCCTTAACCTGTAATTCCCTTTTCCAAATGGTCAGTCTTACCTTTCTCTATCAACTTTCATTTCATTCCACAATTTATATTTTGGGTTCTCATCTAAGAGACACCCTGTGACCTTTTAGGTTTCATAGCTGAGCTATTTCATTGAATTGATGGGAGAAAAACACACCTATGTCTTTTGGCAAAGGGTATTATATTATTTATTTTTTGACATTATGTAACACATTTTTTCTTTACCATGCTGGGAAAAAACAACAAATATTAGCATAAAATCTCTAGCTTTTTGATTTATTTTAAGAGATTTTCAATGATCATTAAGCTGTGAAGTTTGAACTTAAATTTGGCATTCCGCAAAATCTGATTCCTAGTGTGCTGGGGTTACAAGAATGCACAATCACATAGTCTATTAACATTTTACTTCTCCACAAATCCAGTGATAGATAGCTAAGCTGATGTAAGGCCTGATCTCTTATAACTTGATCTGCTTTGCATATGAGTAAGCATGTATCTGTATTTTATGTGGATTTTGAGATTTTAAAAATATACCCAGGAAAAGTATGAGGGGATCAACTTCTAAAGACAACTGCATACTGATATTCAGAATGAGTGCACTTAACATTCCACCAGCCCACTAAAAATTTGAATCAGAAGGGCTTATTCTCTAGAGCATGGCTTGGAAACATGAGCACTCAGTTTTATTTCAAATTGTATTGCAATCTTAGCAGTTTTTAGATAATGAATATGTTGTAATCACATGTATATATGGGTAGAAAAAGTGAAGGCAGAATGTCATAACTCAAAGTGTATGCCACTCATACACATCTATATGCAATGTCATGCATTTTCATATTTAATTCCCTCATTATACATGCCCCAGCTTATACATCTTCGAAGAATATTACTGACATTGAATTGAATGGTGCCTCATTTCTTTATCTGTCATTTTTCTGCTCACTCACTAATTACTCAGGAACATCCCTTCTCCTTGTGAGTGCAAATTACCTTAAGTATCTCCAGTAAATTTTGCATCCTTTTTCAGCTTCCTGGATATCCCCAAGTCCTCCTGAATTGTGGACATAAAAATACCAGGACTCATTAGAGTAATACATACAAATTAATAGATTTTGATTAGATTTATGATATAATGTGACCAGGTCTGAACTATTTTTCAAAATATTTTCACATTCTTTTTAATGAAACAGCACTGATGAGCAGCAAAAATATTCTGATAGCATGAGTGACAAAAAAAATGACATCTTTACCTATCACAGTCATATTCCTACAGGTTTCCTCCATCACATCTCTGTAGAGGTTCTTTTGAGATGGACTCAGCAAAGCCCACTCCTCACTGCTGAAGTTCACAGCCACATCTTCAAAGGTCACCACCTCCTAAAGGATCATACATATATTTATCAAAGGATGGTTGAGACCCCAGGTCTGGGATATCTTAAGTTGTCTCCTACAAATCTGAATCAAAAGCAAAGTGTGGTGGTATATATCTATAATCCCAGCACTCAAAAGGCTAAGAGGACATCTTTGGTGAGGTCAGGGCAATTATAGGCTCCATTGGGTGTTAAAATTCAGCTGATATATATATACAGAAAGCTTGTCTCAAAAACCAAAACTAAACTAAACAAATAAGACCAAACCAAAAAGCTGAATTGAGACTGATTTCTTCATATCTTAAATCCATGTCGTGGTCATTAATTTTGTATATATACACATTTTTGGAGACAGCAAATTTGATGCTATATTGCAACTCATTGCTAATGTAACAGCCAAATAGGAGCACTGATTCTTGTGCTGTGTCTGCAAGATTCCTTGTGTACTGTCTCTAAAGCAGAGCTCACAGTGAGAAGCCTGTAGGACCAGCATCTCCAAAGCACAGAGACAGATAAATATCTCATCAATCAACTGGGAAGCCAAGCAAGCACATCCCCTCCCTGGTAAGTGGTGGCAGTCTGGCAGACTGCAGCCTCCTGAGATCCATGCCATGTTGCTACTTGGGACACTGGGAAGCCAAGGAAGCACCTCTCCTCCCTGGTAAGCAGTGGCAGTCTACCAAACTGTGGTCCTTCCAGGGGGAGAACCAGCAGCACTCCTGAGATCCACGCCATGTTGGAACTTAGGATGCTGGGAAGCCAAGCAAGCACTACCCCTCTCTGGTATGCAATGGCAGTGTGACAGACTATGGGCCTTCCAGAGAAGAACCAACAGTAGCTCCTGAGATCTGCACCATGATGGAACTTAGAATGCTGTGAAACCAATCAGCCTGCCTCACTGCTAAGCAATAGTGAACCTACTGATGCACAGCCCAGAATCAACCATTCCACTTCCCCTACCCCTCTTCTCCTAACCACCCCCCCCTGTTAACAAATAGGAACCAGAAATCTGAGTGTCTCCTGGGAAGTTGACCATATCAAATAAGAGGGACTTTCTTCTACTATCTCTTTGATATTGTTATTACTGTAGCAAATATTGTTATAACTGTTTTGCTTCATTCTGATTAATGTCACTGATCTATTCAATATTGTCTTTTGATGAGTTCCATAATGTTCTATATTTCATCTCATTTTGATATATGTGATTGAAAGAACAACTATGACAAAGATAACAAAATATACTGATACCTATTACTGTTATCCCAGTAACATGCTGTGAAGTTCTGTACCAATTTCACTGTACAATCTTCATTGGCCTTATTCTGTCTTATTCTGTTGTATTTTACCACTTTCACAATTAAAAGAAATTTCTTCAATCACTTTGATAGACTACAGATGATGTCTCTTCAAATCTCATTTAAGCCACTGAGTACTTTGTTCTTAACATACTTAAGTAGTATTTTGAAATATGAATTTGGTTTCATAGAACAAAACATAAATAGCATCAAATGTGGTACATAATAACTCAAATGTTAGTGGAAAACAGCTGTATTTAAAAAAAAAGTTTATAAAATGAAACCAGGCCCAAGCTATAAATTATACCTCACTGTCACCAAGCAACCAATTTCCATTCAGGTATAAGAAATATATCTTGGGAGGCTGGTGAAAGAGTTCTTCCTTGAATTTGGGGCTATCCTGAGTTATAGAGATGTCTAAAATAGAGAAACTCTGACTGAGACACCCCACAGACAAAGTGAAACTTGAAAAGAGACTGCATAAGACCCCTTTGGTTGGTTTTTAAAAATTATAGCCATACAATAGAGAAAAATTCTAACAATATTCAACACTTTCTGAGGAACAATGTGGATATCTTCCATACTATACAGTAAACACTTTCATAGCTGAGTATTTAGCTAAGTGGCATGAATGCCTCCCTGGAAAGCATAAGTCATGAGTTCAATCCATGTTTTAAAAAAATTCAAATTTCAACTTCATAACAATGAGGCATTATTAGAGATAATCAAAACTAGATCTCAAGTATGGAACACAAAATTCATGGGTTGACAGGGAGGTGGAATACTGACTGTTGCCAGAGCTGGTGTTATTCACCTCAGAGAAGGATTCAGAACCCAGCTTTAACTTCATACCTGCTCTAAGAACTACCTGACTTTCAGTGAAGACCCCCTCTGTTGTATGCCCTGCTATTGGCACCCTGTATTATACCAATCACATCCACATGCTTTTGACACTCCTCTGATCCATTCCAAACAGAAAACCCTTCATGCCTAACTATTGATATCCCTGCAAAGTTTCTATTGAGGGCCTCTCCTTTACGGAATTTAGTAAAGTCCATTGAAGAGCATTTCCATATTTAAACAATGTGTGTGATCAAACTGTCTATGATCAACCAAGCTACTAAATTAGCTCTTAATTCAGAGATGACACCCCTATTTCTTTCCATTCAGAAGGATATCACATGTATATGTCCATGAAAATGCCTGAATTTAGGCATTTTTCAATGAGAATTTAACAGATAGCCCTTTCTGGAATTTGTCCTTTGCAAATTTTTACACTGTCTTTGATA